GAGAGAGAGAGAGAGAGAGAGATAGATAGAGAGAGAGAACCACCAGTACGCCAAACACAAACAGTACGGTGACCTTAAGATCTCCCCAATGAGCTTAACAAAAACAAATGACTGTAACATCCCTGGATCTACCGTAAACGTTTTCCATACAAACATACTTTACTGGCTGGTCCCAAAAATCTGGATCGTCAGCAGGAATTAGCTGTGTTTAGCAGCTAGCAGAAAGAGGTGGATGAGGAGAAAGAAGGGGAGGGGGAGGGGTGGAAGGGGGTTAGAGGAGAAGGAGGGTTTACTACTGACCTGTTTCACAACTTGATTATAGGCAAAGTGCACATGTCAGCAGATAGTTGCGAGTAAACATCTTGTTATTTCACTTCACTGCGCGTTCTAAAACCACGTCATTCAAAAACGAAATGAAGTAATCTAATTTTGAAACAGATTTTCGCCATGACCTTACTGATGTAAACTCCTGATTACTCCACGATAATTTTCAATTCCCCTGGTGAACCCGGAGACGTTTAGACATCTTGCTTATTTTGCTAAAATTTCATAATGTTTCAGAAAACAGACCCCGTTTCTTTTGGAGGAAAGTTCCACGTTAAAAAGACCGTCCGTGAACCCAGTTTCTTATCATCGCTCCAGGGGGCAAGATTCCCCATCTCCGTCTCTGGCACAAACATCCTGTTTCTCTCCATTATTATGGAAAAGTGTTTACGTAGGCTATAACAACATTAACACGGAGCTCAGTGGAAAGTGCAGCTTCATCTCTTTTCAGAGCTTTATTTTTTCAATTAAGTTTTGTTTTTGCTCCCCGCTCCTCCTTCATAAAAGCCAGCGTGCCTGTGTCTAGCACTGCAACGTCTTGGTGAGCTGTGACTTTGCGCGTGAGCTTTCACCAAACTACCGGATCTGTGAGAAGTAGATCAGGGAGGGACTTTGTGCCTTTCACCAAACTACCGGACTTGTGAGAGGCTACAGCAGGGTGAGTGACGTAGCGACAATTATCATCGACTAGCAACAGGGTCACCTTTTTGTGCTTGTTGTTATTGTTGTCATCGTTGTTGTTGTTGTTGTTGGTGGGGTTGTTCTCGTTGTTGTTGTCATTGTTGTAGTTGTTGTTGTCATTTTTGTTATTGTTGTTGTTGTCGTCATTGTTGTTGTTGTCGTCATTGTTGTTGTTATTGTAGTTATTATCATCAACAACAAATGACACCATTTTCTATAGTATGTGTTGGCAGGACTATTGACAGACGTATGTCGTATGAAAATATATCTGAAGAGATGAAGTTTCTCATTTTTTTGTAAATCACTGCTTCACTTTTGGTACTAAAATAAAAAAAAAGAATGTCACAACTTTCAGTAATACAATCTGGACCTTTTACCCTCACTTACAGTGCCCTAAACATTCGTGGCTCAACCTATCCTCAAACTTCTCTTAAACTGGAGAATCAATGCCATCCACACTTTGCACAGCAAATTGTATCAATTTGTCTCAACTTAATCATATCTTTTTTCACAACAATCGAGGCTAGACTCAAAAACTTTCCTCCGTAAATAGATATCTATATAATACTACAACTCTCCGTCGCGCGGAAAATGTTAATGGAAGTGTTCACAGCAGTTCCCACTTCTCACACGCAACACATTTTGCACACGTATGTGGCCTACGTCACAGCTCCCCAATGACACTTTTTAGAGGTAAAACTTTAGCCCGTGCATAATCACGATCTCCTGATCAATGACAAGTGAAATTGGTAAAAAGTTCTGCTCTTACTTTATAGTTAGTTTGAAGCTGTCATTCCGAACTTAATTTAGGGGGATGTCGTGGTCGAGAGGTTAAGGCGTTCACCTCTTATTCAATGGGTTCCGGGTTCGAATCCAAACAGCGACGGAAAATTTTCTTCTCTAAAAGTTTCTCTTTTCACCTCCTTTCCTGCTGTCTGACAATGTTCTGTCTTCTGCTTTCGTGTCCACTTTCTGCCCCCCACCCCTCACCTCCTTTGCCCCTCCTCTGGGCTCCTCTTTCTGCAGCCTTTCGACTACTGTTGCTCCTTGGTTCCTTCTTACTGCTGTCTTTCAGCCGCACCCATTATCTAATTGTAGGTAACATCTACCACCTGGCCTTCTCGGATAAAAGTGAAAAATTTCGAGAGGTCCCGGGGGGCAAGTTGCGTACGTTAAAGATCCCTTGGTGGTCTAAAACCGATAAGAGTAGGCTTCACCCGCCACCCTCATTCTTCATTCCTCCTTCATACCCCTCTCCCACCCCAACGGTCCGGACAGTTGTGGCTGGCTTCGACTGTAGTGTTGACCCCAAAAAAATATTGGATAGTTCTGACATCTTTGAAATTATTTTTTTAAAAGTATACATTCCCCAAGAAAGTATTCAAAATTGAGTGTTTTCTTTCATTCTCTCTCTCAATATGCCCTGCAGACTTCTAGGAAAAGTTGCTGGGAGATCTTTGGCACCCAAATACCACGCTGTGTCCTGACAATGGCC